GGGGGGGGGGGGGGGGGGGGAGGCGGTGCTGAGACAATGCATCTAGTGTCTCCACTCACCCTTGCACACAGACAGTCTCTGTTTGCCATGCTCCAGATTCTGGAACAAACCACCTCCTGAATTCTCCTTCTAATGCATTTCTCAACAATCCTAGCGACCTAGCTCGCTGATGGGAAACCATGAGCCCCTGTGCCTGGCGGTGACATAAGTGCTTGTGAAATGTATTTGTGCCAGTGTAGACAGAGCCAAACCTCCAAGGGGCTGTTCCAGTTGTGTTTGGGCTTTTTCTAGATCTGGTCTGGCCTGGCGCAGGCTCAAGCCCGCATCCCCACTTGACGTGGCCAAGAACGCAAGGGCCTTGCTCAAAGCATAGCGGGACAAGTGCCATTTTGCTCAAGCTCTCGAATCTGTTGGTTCCGCTCTGAGTCACACTCCAGCCACCTGACGCAGAGTCCTCGAGGGCATCTTTTTCCTCTGTTTCTGTTGTCCAGGAGCCCCTCGAGAAAGTTCCAGGTTCCCTCGTGCTCTGGCTTAGCCACAGTCAGGAGGTCGGCTGGGACACTCCTGCTCCCACCTGGGCCAAGGGTTGGACAGTCACTGGCTCCCAGAATGTCAGACCCGGAAGGGCTTTGAGGTCATCAGGCCAATCCACTCATTTCCTCAGGGAGGTGACTGCACCCCGCGGTGGGGAAATGTGCAAGATTGCACCGGCTACTGGTGACAAAACTGGGGCCAGGCCCGTGTTTAATAAACTTACACATGCAGGCATCGGAGCCAAACTTTGCCCAGCAGTGAAGCCCACGAATACACCCAGTCCCCTAGGACCTTCTCCAGCCTGGATGTCCTCCTAATGCCCCACCCCTCCCCCATCACTCCCCGAGACAGAGTCCTCAGCGTGTCCAGGGATCATTCCCTAGGTCTCCCTCTCTTTTCTTAATCCCGTGTGTCTCAGTCTTTCCACTCTAACCCCTGTCCTGTGTCAGCTCTGCCAAACCCCACAGATGGACCCAAATGTCTCTGATGTCCTGCACTGCAAAGGCTCCCAGCATTCTTGGCTCCAAAATTCGGACACAGCCCTCCCCTCTCTATCTGCGACAGGTGGGCCTCCTCCCCTCATCCCCAGCGAGGTCCTCTTTAGGCCCAGGAGTTAGTCTCAGAACCAACCAAGCGATTTGAGCCCCTGCCCTCCTCCCACCGCCCCCTCCCTCTGCTGTGCTCCCAGCTGAACTCACACAAGCCACTTCCTGCGGGCTCCAGTCCACTTTGAGCCCCCAAAACAGGGAGCGGCACTCACCTGGTTCCTCAGGGAGGGTCTCTCCCATTTCCCTGTGCTTGGGGTTTCCTAGGGGAGCTATGAGGGGCACAGAGGAGGTTAGTAAGGTTATAGGGTGGGGCCTGAGTCCTCAGGCGAGGAGGAGGGGCAGGATTGGGTTAGAACCAACAGAGACCCGTCCCCACAGAGATGCCTCCCCTCCTCCCCATTCCCCGGCTCTCCTGCCCAGGGCCTGCCCAGCCTGTAAAAGGGCCACTGAGTTGGGAACCGTGGGAACCCCTGGGGCTGTCAGAAAGGCCACTCGGCTGCATCTTTCTCAGGCTTGCTCTGCCTTTTAAAAAGCTCCTTTTCCTCCCTCTCAGAATCTCTGTGCATCTCTGTATTTAGTGAGTGGCAGTAACGGAGGGCCTAGCTATGCACCAATGCCAAAAGTGCCTTGTGAGGTATGAGGAGCAGTCTCTTCTCCTTCTCCATGGCTGGGAGTTTTTTTTCCTCTTCTTTCTCTGGGTGTCTTTAGACTTGTAATCCAGCAAGCTAGCTTTCCAGTGCGACAAACTGTGATAATTTGCTTATTAGATTTCCAGGGCACCTCGCCTCCTCTCTGAGCTCCTTCAGGATAGTGCTAAGGGGGAAGGAGCTCCTTTCCAAGAGTCGAAGTTCTTCAGGGCAACCGTCTGTGAACAGACGTTTAGGGACTCCGTCTCCCGGCCTGGCAAACCGTGCTAGGCACGGGCACGAGGTGGGGGGCAGTGAATGAGGACTTATGGTGACTTCCTTCCTGTAGTCTGGCCACCCACGCTGGAGCGCAGTTTCCTTCTCTAATGTGGCCTCTGTGGTCTGCACGACTCGGCCCTTTCCCATTTGTCTGTCCCGCCTCCTCCCTCCTCCCTGGGCCTTGCAGTTTATGGTTTCAACGCATCGCACCCCTTACCGCCCCCTCCTTGCTCCTCCCCCAGCCCCGGTCCCAGCCCAGCCGCAGTGCTCCTCCTTTCCGTACCTCGGCCCCCACGCCTGTAATGCTCTTCCAGCCCCCTCTGCCTGGCTGACTGCTACCCCCAAACGTCCCCTCCTCGGTCGTGAGAACGGCTCTCTCTCATGTGCTAAGTACTCCGCCCTGGGATGAGCGCTCAGCCACATTCATCCTCACCCAATCCTGCGAGGTAGGTTCTATCAGTGTCCTCATTTTCCAGATGAAGAAATACAGGCACAGAGATACTGAAGAACTCCCCCAAGTCGCACAGCTGGTGCACTGTGGAGCTGAGAGTTAAACCGGGGCGGCCGGCCCCCCACGTGTGCTTTGGTCACTAGATATACCACTGTCCCCTGTGAAAGCATCTCTAACCGCTTGCCCCACGCTGCGTCAGGTGGGCCCGTGTCCCCCCGCCTCCCATCACAATCCCACCTAATTCTAACGATTGACTTGTCCTTCTGTCTTCCCCACGGCACCGTGAGCTCCTTGAGAGCAGGGACTGGACTCCTCATCATCCACGGTGCCTAGCACAGTGCTCCACCCATAAGCAAGATTTTCCAAGCCTTGTTGAATAAGTGAATGAACGTGGCGCCTGGGCGGCTCAGTCGGTTAAGCGTCTGCCTTTGGCTCGGGTCGGGATCCGGGACTCCCTGCTCCGGGCGGGGAGCCTGCTTCTCTCTCTGTCTCTCGTGAATAAATAAAATCTTTTAAAAATGAATGAATGAATGAATGAATGAATGAATGAATGAATGAATATGGGGCTAGTCCGAACGAACTATAAGGATTCTCTTAGCCCAAAGAGGAGGGTCCTGGCAATGGTCATGGTTAGGGCCTTGGCCAAGTAGGAACTGACAGCAAGAGAAACCCAGAGAAGCCACGAACCTGAAGTTTGCTTTTGCCTGAGGCGGAACCAGGCCACGGCAGCGGCGAGGATGGCCACCGCAGCGGTGCCGGCGACCACAGCCCCAGCTGTCATCACCATGGAGGAGTCGCTCCAGCTGGACCCTGGGGGAGACAGACCTCAGGCCAGGCAGTAGCCTCCCGCCTCCCATGCTCTACCCCAATGCTGCTCCCCGGGAGCTGCTCTGTGTCTGGGTCCCTTGTCCCTTGTCCTTTGTCTGGGTCCTCCCCCAGCCTCACCTGTGCGGACCACACTGCGGCTGGACTCATGCCTCCTCACTCACAGGTGTCTCCGCTCAGCCAATAAAGGTACATTATTGAGTGTGTGGGGGCCGAGCTCAGGGAGAGGAGGAAGGGGGACCTGAAGCCTCCCCTAACTGGAGGCACCGCGACTGGATCCCACAAGGCCTTGAGCTGTCGGGGACCGGTCATGCCTTGCTTGGGGAGTGAACGGGCATAACGTGAGAACTAAGAAGAAATAAGAAAACCTCAGTTCTTGGGAACGTCCGGGAGCTTAAGGAACCCCTGCCCCAGTGCGGGAGCTCTGCTCCATCACTGTCCTTAGGACAGACGGGGCCTGCATTTCAAAGGGCACACAGCCTTTCCCCTGTGACCTGGAGCGGAGGGCCCCAAGCTCTAGCCCCTCCTGCTGCCCACGGCCAATATTTCTCACGGCCCCCATTCCTCCCCACTTTGCCTCAGTGCCCAGGCGTCTGCCCTCTGGCATTTCTCAGCTCCAAGGAGGCCCGTAGGACCTTAGCCGTCGTTGCCCATCCCCTCATTGTCATCCTCCCTCCATCGGGACGGAGTCCGCACCTCGGACAGTGATGGCCACAGGCTGTGAGAGGCGCAGCATCTGCCCTATCATTCCCGTGCAGTGGTAGTCGCCACTGTGGCTGAGGTTTGCCTCTGGGATGAAGAATGTGGAATTCAGAGAAGAAAACTGCTTGGATTTCCCGTCCTGGAAGAATGTGATCTTGTACAGACTCCTGTTCTTCCAGCTGTGGCACCTCAGCACCATGGGCTCCCCCTTCTGGAACACCAGGCGAGGGGTCTGGAGCAGCAACCAGTCTGAAAGACACAAAGGGACCCTAGGACCCAGGAGGTCTTGACCCAACTCTGAGACTGTCCTTTCCGGTGGGACACGATGTGTGGAGGGAAGAGCTTAAGTCTGGAATCCAATGGCCCTGGTCTCTAACGCTGGCTCTGTCATTGGGGAGCTCTGTAGTCTTGGGCCTCTTCTGGGCCTTGGATTCCTCCTCTGTGGAAATGGACATAACAATACCATGCATCTACAGCAGTTCCTGGCACATAGTAGGTGTTCAGGACAGGCTTGTCTTCTCTTTCCCGTCCTGGGAGAAGGCAGCTGAAGCTCTGTCCTGCCCAACAGGACGGGAAGGATACAAGAGAGCCCAGGGTGCAGTCCCTTCCTTGGGGGAGGGAGGGGAAAGATCCAGTCTGACCTAAGAGATGACATGTGGGGGGACACGGCAGAGATATGTCTTTTGGGAGAGGAGGAAGTCATGGACGTCCAAGAAGTATTAGCTTATTTGATGTATGTTGGTAAATGTGGAGTTTTACTTCAGCAAGGTCTTTGTCTGTCGGCAGCAGCGTCACCTTGGTCTGAAGGTGGGTCATTAGCCTGCTGTGTCCTTTTTCCCTCCCAATGTTCATCCTTTTACTGAGGAAGAAAAAATATTTAGCATTTTTGTTGTATAGGGAATAAAGCCTAAGGGTAGATATTTGTACTCCTGACCTCAGCCCACATGCTCCTTTTCCCTAAAGCTGGAGGATGGAGCAGAACTGGAATTGAAAAGAGAGGTAGGGTAGAAGGCAACAGCAGAATTAGAAGGGGGAACCCGGGTGGCACAGTCGGTGAAGCGTCTGCCTTCGGCTGAGGTCATGATCTCGGGGTCCTGGGATCGAGACCCCGTGGGGCTCCCTGCTCGGCGGGGGGCCTGCTTCTCCTCTCCCTCTGCCCCCACCCCTGACTCATGCTCTCTCTCTCTCTCTCTCTCTCTCTCTCTCTCAAGTAAATAAATCAGTCACACATGTTCCCAGCAAGCACCCCCTACAGCCAGCCAGGATGAGGCCAACCAAGTCTCTGCACTGGCTGGTGACATGACCACAGACGCAGGAGGAGATGCTCAATACCAATTACATCACAGAGAAAAGTCAGCCACAGCTACAGCGGGAAATCCAGGGCCAGAGGGTGGCACTGGCTTTTGCTACTCAGCTGCCACAAGCTAGAAAACCCCACCTCTCTTGTCGGGGAGGCACAGCTAGCTTCCACCCATTTCCTTGCCTTACCATACTGCATATTCCTCCTCTTGGAGAACCGAGACCCTGGCTGGACACTGCACTCCGGGATGAGGCTGAGCCGTCCTGGTTCCCTAGACTGCCCCTCTCATGAGATTGGATTAGGGCAGGTGCGGATGCTGAGAATTGTAAAGCTTTGAAAAAATAAAGTAGAACCCAGAGAAAATGCCCAAGTTGCCATGTAGCCCCAGCAACCAATTCCTGCCCTTCTCTTCCCTGTCACGGTAATCCCCACCACAGAAGACCTACATGGCTGGAATGGCTTTTCTTCCCTGAAGAGTCTCTTGGGCACCAGGTTATAACCTAGATAATGAGGAGTATCTGCCTTCGGCTGGTCTGTGCAAGGGGGCCACCTTAGCTCTCCTTGAGGACATTTATCTTGGTGCAGATCTGGAGAGCAGGGGCCAGCTTCCTGTTAGCGGCCCTCATAAGATGTTCTTCAAGTAATCAAAGGGCCTTCCCATCCATCTGGGAGCAAAATGCCCCTGCAATCTCCTGGAAGCCTTGTAAAGAATCAAGAAACACCCACAGCTCCTCCACATGCCAGTGGCGACACGGGAACACACTCAGGCTCCAGGGTGGGATGCCCTCCCCTCCTTGCCTTCCTGCAGGGGCAGGGACAGAGATGTCAGGCCTCAGGAGCTTCCCTCCAGGCCTATTACTTCCTGTTATGCGGAGAGAGTGGGAGCAACAGGCCCACTGTGTGCTTTTGAGGAAAATTTAGGCATCCAGGGAGGGAAAGGGACTACACGAAGAGTAACAATGACAATATTCATCATAGTCTCAGGGTGGCTCTTCTTTACAGAGAAGCTACTTTTTGCCAGAAGCTTTGTAAAATCATTCATCTGTTTAGCAAACATTTATTAAGCCCTGCCCTTGTCAGGGGCTGGAAATGCAAATATACTTAAAACACAACTGTCAGGGGGCGCCTGGGTGGCTCAGTCGGTTAAGCAACCGACTCTTGGTTTCAGCTCAGGTCATGACCTCAGGGCTGTGAGATCAAGCCCCAAGTAGGGCTCTGTGCTGGGTGTGGAGCCTGCTTGAGATTCTCTCTCTCTCTCTCTCTGCCCCGCCCTCCCTCTCTCGCTAATAAAAAAAAAAAAAAAAAAAAAAAGATCAACACAACTTCCAGGTCAAGTTGCATGGAGAGCAGGGGGGCGGGGAAATGTTGATTCCCACCAGGACCTGGGGAGGGAGGCATTAATACCCCCATGAGCAGACAAGGAATCAAAGCCAAGCGCAGACGAATCACCATGTTCACATGGCTAGTGGTGTCCAGGCCGAAGACTCAGCTGTGGTCTGTCTATGCTTTGTGATGGCTACAAAAATGGGTTTTTATGTAGTCAGAATTTCTTTCTGCTTCTCTCATACCCTACATGCTTGTTTGTAGCCTTGTAACCTTCTTGCTCCATCAGGATTGAGGCAAAACAACCTATACTGAGGAACTTCTTAAGACCTTCCACCACCACCACACACACTAAGCAAAGGGGGTGGGTGAAAAGGGAAGTGAGTGGATGAAAACAGCTTCCAACAACTCACAGCGCTGATTCCGAGGAAACAGACTACCTCCCTTCCCTAAAAACCTCTGCCACGTAAGCAGATTTCATCTTTCCGTGTCCTCCCAGGCCCTCCCCAGGCCCTTCCTCCACTGACCGGAAGTCACATCCAGATGCACAGGGTCACTGAGGCTGGTCTGGTCCGTCTGGCACCTGTACTCCCCGCTGTCCTGTTGTCTGGCCTTAAAACTGTACTTGGCCTGGACCAAGGCTGGGATGGAGCTCCCATTATGGAACCACTGGGTGACGTGGTCCACAGCGGTGCGGGCCCCCTGGCACTTCAGGGTCACGGGATCCTCCTGGAGCACATTGACCCACGGGGGCTCAAGGTCCAGGACAGCCTTCGGGAGACCTGCTGAGGGGCAGAGAGAGGAGGAAGCAGGAGGAAAGGGGGCCCCAAGAGTCTAACCAGGCCCCCGAATTTCAGATAGTAAAGCGCCTCTGGTCCTTCTGAGGACATCAAGAGTGGAACCTGGCCCAGAACTGTTATGTAACTGTAGGTAATTCCTCTTACTCATGTGTCCTACCACAGGGGTCCCCAGGAAGCCAGGTCTGCTCAGGGAGCTTCCTCAGGAAGAGATGGCAAGGTAAGAGAAAGGGAGAAGGGGCAAAGCAAACACTAGAAATGTATGTCTACCTCACCAGGGGTCATCTGCAACAGTTCTTTCTTTCCTTTCTTTCTTTCCTTCCTCTCCTTTCCTTCTTTCCTTCTTTGCTTCCTTCCTTCCTCTTTCTCTCTCTCTCTTTCTTTCTCTTTTTTCTTATTTTCTTTCTTTCTTTCTTTCTCTCTCTCTCTCTCTCACACACACACACCATGTACATAACTTTCTAGAATTCATTTTGTTCCCCTGTAAACTGAGGCATTTTGGATACTAGTGGATAAACTCTCTCCAGAGCCGGATGAAGGCATCTGGTGGAGGTATCCAGCATGAGTCAGACATCAGGTTTCTGTTCTGACCTGATGTCAATCTTGCTCCCTTAGAATAGACCTATCCTCACAGCCAAGTACAGAGGAGTCTCTGTGACCTCAGAAGGATCAAGAAAGAGAAAGGCTGGAGGGCCAGTCTAGGGAGCCCTGGCTTCAGTGCCCCAGGGAGAGTGGCAACCCCCCACCCGCCCCCCGGGGAGCCCTGGGAGGTGGGGAGCTGGTTGGCATAGAGAAAGAAGTGCCCGGCAGACTTTACTTCACCAAGCTGCAATCAGTGGTCTCTCCTCCTAGTTCTGTCCAGGGAAACAGGCCCCGAAGCCCTCAGATACGTGCAAAGTGGGGGATTTATCAACACGGGGAGATAACCTAAGCACATGATGGGATTTTGCGTGCAGCTGAGACTAAAAATGTCTGGACTCTTGATTTTACTGAGAGAGAGGATGAGTTATTTTCTGTGACAATATCTGTGATTTCTCACCCTAACAGAACCAGAAGGTTTAAAGCACCTGTGCGCCCTGGAGGTCTATCCTCGGCTTCCCTGGGAGGAGGGGAAAGAGAAAGGAGAGAGGGAGAGAGGGCGGGACATCTCCTTCCTGGCCCCACCTAGGTACTGGGTTACTGGTGCATTCAGGGCACCTCCAGGCGCGTGGGGGGCTGGGAGCAGAGGAAGAGCGTAGCTGGGGGCGGGAGAGGATGTGGGTGGTGTACTTACCAGGTGTCCCAGCCACTGGAGCTGTAAGAGAGAAAGCGAAGATCAGCCCAGGGTTTAGATTTAATGATTCATCATTACAAGAATCACTTCCAAAAAAAAAATCCCTTGCATGCAAATCCCCTTAACTCCTTTGCCCTTCCCTGTCTCTGTTAAATCTAGCTGTACTGTCCATGCCTTTATGGTTCAGCTGTGCGTCACTAAAATGATCACACAAGCAGGCAGATCGGAGTCTCTGTAAATTTGTGGTCACCATATTCAAAAGGACATTGAGCTGCCATTCTGACACTTTTCTTTTTTTTAAGATTTTTTATTTATTTATTTGAGAGAGAGAGAATGAGAGAGAGAGAGAGCATGAGAGGGAAGAGGGTCAGAGGGAGAAGCAGACTCCCCGCCGAGCAGGGAGCCCGATGCGGGGCTCGATCCCAGGACCCTGGGATCATAACCTGAGCCGAGGGCAAATGCTTAACCACTGAGCCACCCAGGGGCCCCCATAACCAGATTTCTCAATTTTTTTTCTACATGGGCTATGCTCATTTCTACTCCTTCCATTCACTGTTTCATTCTCCGAAATTTGGACTCTGCCTTCACCAATCCACCACAACTTTTCTCTCTCATTCTTTCCCAGGCACATCTTCACCATCTCCCCAGTTACTTGTGCCTGAAAGCTCTAAGTCACCTTTATTCCCCGCTCTCCCAAGGCCCCTGCCCCTTCACCTCAGTGAATCTTGTTGATTCTGCTTCCGACTCAGGCCCTGAGTCCATCCACTTTGCTCCCTGCTCGTGGCCACCGTGCTAGTTTAAGTCACCACCAGCTTTCTCTGCCTCCTAACTCCTCTCCTCACTCCTTTGTCCCCCACAATCCACTTTCCACAGAAAAGGTAGAGTTGTTTTGTTTTTTTGGTTTTTTTTAATATCAGTTCCAATAATATCACTCCTCTGCTTAGAAGCCTTCAAGGGCCTTCCTTTGCTCTTGAAATAAAAGTACATCTTTACGAGGCCACACGAGACAGGACAAGGGCCCTGCTCACCTCTCCCGCCTCATCTCAAGCCCCTCTTCCCCTACTCATGGAGCTCCCATAACACAGCCCTCTTTGAGTTCTTCATACCTGGGGCTTTTGTGTATGCGGATCCCTCCTCTAGACCTGTTTCCTTTATCTCTTCAAACAGCTAGATCCTTGCGGAGCTCAAAGTCCCAGCTCAAGTGTCACCTCCTCAGAAAACGCTTTCCATTATCATCCTGTTTATCATTCTTTCTTCTTCCCCACAAACACTATTCTTATCACAGTATCCTGTTTATATCTTCATGGCCCTTTCTAATTTATATTTATACCTGAGTGTCTGTTTATTTGTTGTTTAGATCGCCCAGGAGATCTAAGAGGGCAGTAGCCATATCAATTTTATTTGCCAGTGCTCTGGAAATCACTTATTGAATGAGTCTAGGTGGGAGATAAGAGGTGCCACAGTTGTAACGATAATAGGAAGTGAAGAAGATATGCACATGAGAGAAATTTTTTTTAAGATTTTATTTATTTGTTTGAGAGAGAAAGAGTGAGAGAGAGAGAGAACTCGAGCTGGCTGGGCGGCAGAGGGAGAGAGAGAAGCAGACTCCTTGCTGAGCAGGGAGCCTGACTTGATCCCGGGACTCCAGGATCATGACCTGAGCCGAAGGTAGATGCTTAGCCGACTGAGCCATCCTGGCGCCCCCACATGAGAGAAATGTAAGAGGCACAACTGGGGGAAGCTGGCACTTGATGAGAGTGGGAGTAACGTAAGGAAAGGTTACCTGTGCTCACACAAATATAAATGTTAGGAAGAGGAGTACATTTGCAATGGGAAGATGATAAGTTGAGTTTGAATATGTTTTGTTTCTGAACCGGCATACCAATGTGGAGGTGTCCAACCAGCAGGTGGAAACACGAAATTGTAGCTGACACAAGCAAGAAAGACGGGTTTGGAAGCTGTTGACATAGAAGTGATAGCTAAAAACCAGAGTGTCGGATTGGCAAGAGGGACAGTGCAGTAGGGGAGCAAATAAAGAAGTAGAACCTAAGAGGAGGGGAAGAGGAGAAATAAGAAAGAAATGAGAAGAGTAGAGAGAAGTCATTAGCCATTTATTCATTCCACACTCAACAAATGGTCATGAATACACACTCAATAGAGTCATTGTAAGGGAGACAAAGACCTTATGCTTTAGGTCAGGAAGTCTGTCTGTCTTGTTCACTGGTAAATCTCCAAGTCCTAGAACAGGGCCTGTTCATGCATTCATTTAATGTTTAAACAAGGCAGTTTGTGGAATCTGTAGAAAGCAGGAAATGCAGTGTCCACATTGCCTGGCCGTAGAGGAAGATCCACTTGGGGGCAATGGGAACGTGGTGAAGAGGGTGGAATGGAGGCCTTAGTTAGTAGGTAATGGAGCAGTCCTGGAGGCATTTCTGAAGTGCAGTGACTTAGCTGCCCTTGAAGATGTCATGGCCTCGGTGTGCAGCACAGATTCAGAGGAGAGGAGACAGGAGCGGTCGAGATGGGGTCAGAGGCTGTTGTCAAAGCTGGGTTATTGAGGGATGAAGACCTAAATATGGTGGTCCAAATAAGAATGGGGAAAATGGAGCAAATCCTTGGTGACTTAGCAAAAGGACAAATGGAAGAAAAGACCAAGTCTTGCCCAGAAGTCTTGCCCAGGTGACTGGTACATTGGTAGCACTAACAGCAGAGATGGAGAAGCATATCATCTCTCCAGGCCTGAGCTTCCTCACGTGAAAAATGAGATAGTCTAATGCTCCTTTCACATGTTATTCTCCTTCAGTCCATTTTATCCTGCTCATGAAGGAATACTCTCTCTTCCTCACCTCTGCTTCCTATCCCAGTATCATTCAACACTGAGGGCCTAGGACTCCCAGAGATGACCAGATTTTATTATCAGTCATAGCACCTAACTCCAGAGTGGCTACATGTCTTCCTCTGGGGCTATGCTAAGGTTTTTTTGAGGGTGGAAACTCTAGGAATTGAGCTTGGAGAGACAATCCTAGTGATAGCGCTCCCCTGGCTGGCCTCCCTAGATTTCCTCCCACCTGGCATCATCAGTCCCTGTCCCTCCATCTTGGCCTAGGACCCTGACTTTCTCCCTGATCACAACCAGGACCTATCCCCATGTGTGTGTACAAGGAAGCATGGGTGATTTCTCCGGTCCTACAATTGACGATTCCAGAATTGCCCAGGTTGTGTGTTCTCTGAACCCCTGTTCCCTGGATAACCCAGACCCTCTTTGCTTCTTCCCAGGGAAATCTAACACATAAACAGAATAAGCTTCTGCTGCCTGACAGAGAATGTCTACTGCCCCCCCGCCAAGTGTCCTATTGCTTCTTCCCCACCCCTTATCTAAGACAGCATTAGCCCTCCCACCTACGATTTGGTCCCCGTGAAACACAAATTTTTAAGGAATGAAAACACCCTGGCCACTCATTAGTCACTCAAGTCTAGGTCACTAGACTTTCCTCAGAGCAGGTTCAGATGTAGGTGGTTGCAGAACATCAGGGACCTGGCTGCCCCTTGATATTGGGCAAAAGACACTAAAAACTAAAACAAAAACTCTGCCAATTTTATCATTTGCCAAGGCCAGTAAGGTTGTCAGAGTTTGATCTTCATCAGCCTGCTTCACCCTCCTCATTTTCTTGAATGCTTCCCATGCTACCCCTCATCCTTGCCACAGCTCGGCCTGACCCAGGGAAGCAGCAGCTGAGTTAGGAAGGTGCACCTGCCTCTGTCCTTCATGAGGACACCGACTCACCCAAGAAGAGCAGAGCTGTCCACAGCAGCATGTCACCCAGAGGATGGCAGGGCACACAATCAGCCCAGTCACTATCAGCAGCAGGAATGGGGAGGAACGAGGGGATCTGCATCACTTGCTGGCTCACGTTGGCTCCAGCAGCACCAGTGTGGCAGGCAGAGACTTCTCTTGAGACTTGACAGATTCCACCCGAGAGGACAGACAGATTCTGAAGTCCAAAAGAGGAAGTGAAAAGAAATGTTGTTTTATCATAGGCTCCTCCCCTTCACCCTTTTTCCTCTCAACTGTTCCCTCCCAGAAGATTCAGAGCTTCCCAGAATGGGTCTGGCTCAGCCCAATTCCAAATTCACAGAAATTTTAGAAACTGGGAAACAATGTCTTCCTCTTCTTTTGGGACACAGCTAGGCCTGTGTCCTCTGGGAGTAAGAGGGGAATGGTTGCCCAAATCCAGCTCAGAACCTATCTGTTCCTACCTCTTTAGAAAAGGCAGGAGAGTAGAATGCGCAGCCAGTCTTCTCTGACTTCTAGCTCCATTTGGAGGCCCAGTTGCTCCTGAAACTGATGATGGTGGTCTTGAGGCCCCCCACCATCAGTTGATTTTCTTTGTTATCATGATCTCCGACCTACTCCTAGATCGTGGAGCAAGAACAAGGATGTGTGCCAGGGTGGCACCAGGATGGTTACGCTCATCCTCTTATTCCCCTCTGGCATTCATTCTTTTTTTTTAAAAGATCTATTCATTTATTTGAGAGAGAGCACACACTCAGGCGTGTGCGCTTGCAGGGGGAAGGGGAAAGGCAGAAGGAGAGGGATACAAGAAGACACTGAACGCAAAGCCAGACATGGGACTTCATCTCACAACCCTGAGATCATGACCGGAGCCGAAATCAAGAGTTGGATGCCCAACTGACTGAGCCACCCAGGCGCCCCTGGCCTTCATTCTTTTGCTTGTTCCTTCAACAGAACACCAACTTGTGCCCTGGTTCTTTATCTTTACCATCTTCAATTCCATCACTATTCCTATCCCCATGGCATGGTGAAGGAGCGCGGGCCTTGGAGCTATATAAGTCTAGTTCTGAACGCCAGCTCAGGTTGCTTGTCAATAAAAATGAAGGTAATCATGCCTACCCTTCAAGCAGGATTTCTCAGCCTCAGTACTTTTGACATTTTGGGCCAAACAGTTCTCATTGTGAAGCACTATCCTGTACATTGCAGAATGATTAGGAGCATCTCTGGCCCCCACCCACTAGATGCCAGTAGCACCCCTAGTTGTGAAAATAAAAATTTCTAGACACTGACAAATGTTCTCTCAAAGGCAAAATTGCCCCTGGTTGAGAATCACTGCACTCAAGGTTTTTGGAAAAGAGAAGAAAATTCAAGTACTAGCAAAGTGCCTGGTGCATCATGCGTATCCAATGAAGGCTTGTTTCCTTTTTCTGCTTTCTGTCATCATCCTCATCACCGTTTGTTCACCCTCAACATCCCTAGAACATAAAATGCTCTTCTTGGGGCCCCTTCCTGGGGCCTCTTTCCCAAATGCCCTCACAGGAAGCAAGCTGTAAGACTCAAGGAAGTAACACTGTAAAATCTCTTCTCATACCCATAATCTTCGGAAATCCTCAGCCCATCAGCCACAGGTTTTTACTACTGGCCCCATTCAATGCCCCTACCCCAATCTACTTCCAGCCCTTATCTGATTTTTAGGTGAATTTCTTGACCAGTGACAAGACTTCAATGATCTGACATCCATACTTCAAAAATATCATTAGAAACTGATAAAGTTAACTTGTATATCAAGACCCACAAAATGGAAGCCCCACTGCCCGTGGCCTGGTCCATGTCACAAAATCTAAACCTAAGTCAGCTTGCACTTTCAGGAAACACCTGTCAAGGAAACCTCACATACGCCATCACAATCTTCCAACTCAGCTTTAGCTAGCTTACCTTATCCTAAAAAATAGGACCTGCTGACCTCATAGGGAAATCCCCAACCTTCTAGCCAATCAAGCTATTTTCTAGTTGCCTCTTCCATTGCTCTATAAAATTCATTTTTCCATCAAATCCCTTAGGAAGAGTTCTCCACTATTTGTGAGGCACTGTACTGCCCCAATCCATGGAATGTTTTCCCTTAAATAAAGGACATCAAACTTGTTATTAAATTGTTTTAGTTTTGTCATTTGTCAATGAGGATGGGATCCCAAGACCTTTGCTGAAGATTCTGGGGTTGGTGCCTAGATGCATGTGAAGGTCCTCACAGAGCTATTTTGGTTTGCTACCTCTTTGGTTGCTTTCTGGATCTCTGGTAAACTTCCTTTGGTTTGAGCTCTGCCTGTATCATATGCTGAGCTCTTTTGAGTTTGTTTGTTCTAATCCTTCCAGGTGGAAAATTGGGGTGTGAGAGACTGGATTTTTCACAGTGAGACCTAGTGGGCTACAACATTTGGGTTTGGAGCCCACCTCATCTTCAAGGTAAGTGTCTTTTGGAGTTACTGATAGGTTTCTGGGACTGTGCTCAGGCAGCCTAAAACAGTAAGTCTGGTTGAATTAGGGAGGATTATTTCAACAAGGGAAAATAATGGGTCCTCCTCAATCAAAAGAAAGCATGATGGCAGCCATTAGGGGACTCACAAAGCGTCAAGGCAAGTCCGCAGCATAAACAACTGGAGGACATGGGGAAATAAATGAAGACAAGATATTTGGACTTTTTTGACCAACAGCACATCAAAATCTAAATAGGCACAAGTCAGACTATTCAAGTCCATTCAAGGGGCACTTGGCTGGTTCAGTCAGTAGAGGATGCAACTCTTGATCTTGGGGTTGTAAGTTTGAGCCCCATGTTGGGTGTAGAGATTACCTAAAAATAAAATCTTTTAAAAAAAAAATCCTTTTGAGTGTCTGCCACTATAAAGAAATATTCTTGTAGCGGAGAGGTGTATATTCTTGTGAAAGGGATAATAGATCTATTGCTAATGAGAATCTTGGAAGCCAGAACCACAAAATTAGTAGGCATGGGTCAAGGACTTAAAGCTGTTAGAGCACTTACCACCCAAATCTAAGATACATGCTAGGATATGTTGGTCATGGAACAGGTTAGACTGACACTAGCTTCCCTGACAACCCAAGAAAATTCCCAAGCAGTGATGTACACTGTAAAACACTGCACAATCCTCAACCCTGTGGCACATCTCTCTTAGTTACTAATTTGACTCTGAGACACAAGGCTTAACTAAAGAAATGGGATCCTCAATTTTCAAAGAATCAAGCATGTCACCTTCCAGCATACCTGCCTAGTTGATGTCTAAGAACCATGGTCCTGGAAGCCGTAGACATCTATAAAAATGGCAAAATCTTATTAAGACAAGCTAGAATTACAATGGCTATTATGGGAAACATTCTAGTTTGACAAGATCATTCATTTTAGAAGTGCACTTGAAAGTAAGGTTTCCAATTCAAACAAACATAATGGGCTACCTATTTTAATTGGTATGAAGAAGCTTCCAAAAGTCTTCAAGTTTCCAAAACTTGAAATAACTTCATTGAAAGATTTATTGCGAAAGGCGAATGAGAAATGAAAGACACAAGAGGTACCTAAAACAAAGACTGAGGCCGACATGACTCCCACTATTTTCCTCTATCCTTTTTAACTTGAGTACTCACAGTCTACTCGTCTTCTATCTGAATTGTCTTTCCACTCTGAAAAGACTACAAGACCATAAACACAAGTCAGCTAAGTTAGTAGCCTTACAGACACCTCCATATCTACCCTCAGACAAGGGCCTGCATATAAGCCCCTCTGAGGGTTGACAGGACTCAGGAATTCTTTAGCAAATTACTACCTGTTATTCTCTTAAACAGCCAAGGGGAAACTAAAATTAAATTTGTGGAAAACCTTTCCAAATTCTGATAGATAATGGAGCTACACTCTACTTTAAACCCCCTCTCACTCTAGAACCTGCAGATGGGATCTTGGGGAAACTGGCAAAAACTGGCAAGAGTGAGAGTTCTTTTTTTTATTTATTTTTTTATTATTATTATGTTATGTTAATCACCATACATTACATGATTAGTTTTTGATGTAGTGTTCCATGATGCATTGTTGGTGTATAACACCCAGTGCTCCACGCAGAACGTGCCCTCTTTAATACCCATCACCAGGCCAACCCATCCTCCCACCCCCGTCCTCTCTAGAACCCTCAGTTTGTTTCTCAGAGTCCATCGTAACAGTGAGAGTTCTTATCAGAGTCAGCTCTCCCACATCTCTGCAGTGCCTGGTCGGGAGAGGAAAATAAAATTTCCCATTGTCTTTTCCTTCCTAAATTCAGACTCTTATGAATTTGGTTTGTGGGTACCCATTGTCAATTCTTTCTCTCCCAGGAACACCTACTGCCTTCTTATTTGTCTTGTTTTGTGTCCTGAGAACTTGATGTGGCAACAGTCAGGTTGGAGACCCCCAAAATATGGCTAGCCAGAAATATCGGGTTTTTTTAAAGGATTGCCCTTCAACATCATTCAGGTTGCAACCTAATTCTTTGAGGAATTAAAAACAGCTGTTTTGTCTTATGAGTTGACTCTTTATAAGAACAGAAATGCAGCTCTACAAGCAATTCAAAGCCCGCTTATCCTTTTTGCCAATTCCAAAACCACTTGTATTCATTTCAAAAGGCTTGTGGTATTGTCAAATTCTGGATTTAGGGAATGGAAGTCCTTCTTGGAGGTACTTGCACTCCTCCCCTGTGCTTTTGAAGTATAAACATACTACCCACTCTTCTCTAGGAACTCCTATCCAGTCTATCTCTTTGAAATGCAAACTTTAGGTAGGTAATTCATTTTTTTGTTTTTTGTTTTTTAGTTTCAGAGCTAGAATTTAGTGATTCATCAGTTACATATAACACCCAGTGATCATTGCATCACGTGCCCTCCTTAATGCCCATCACCCAGTTAGCCTTTCCCAACCCCCCCTCCCCTCCAACCACCCTCAGTTTGTTTCCTAGCGTTCAGCATCTCTTGTGGTTTGCCTTCTTCTCAATTTTCATCTTATTTTATTTTTCCTTCCCTTGCCCTATGTTCATCTGTTTTGTTTCTTAAATTCTACATATGAGTGAAATAATATGATAATTGTCTTTCTCTGATTGACTTATTTCACTTAGCATAATACCCTCTGGTTCCATCCATGTCATTGCAACTGGCAAGATTTCAT